TGGTTTTGGCTTTCAAAGGTTTAAATCTATTATGAATATTAGCTATAAAAATTACCTAGTGTTTAAATAGGTTCTAAATGAATCGTTTAAAGAACGAAATGAAATGTCTTAAGACTGATTTAATTATTAAAACTATAGCAAAAAAGTACAGTATTTCAGGGAAAAAATCTATTTTATTGGATGATTTTTCTCTTTCAGCGCTAATTTGAATGCATTTTAGAAATAAGATAGGATTTTCTGAATGCATTTAAAAAAGAATTTATTTCAGCATTTTTTAATATAAAAAATGAAAGCAACACGGGACAGCGAAATCTGAATTTAGCAACAGAATTGAAAATCTTAATTGAGGTCGAATAATACTTTTTATGAGTCTACGGGAATAAATTTTAAAAAGGTTCTAATGAAAGATTGTTATAGAGAATATTAAAAGAGTATCAACTAATACAGCTGAGAAAATTCAGCTTTGTAAAGAATGAATTCTATGTCTGGCTACCAGCAGAGTAGAAGTTGTGTGAAACAATTTTATGTTTGAATGATTCTTGATACCTAAGAAAGGCATTATCTGTTGTGAGTGTGGTAATCCCTTACAAAATTCAACACGCGGCGAAGCGGCGAATCATCTGTATATATTTTTGCTTGGGATAAAGTAAAAGATTTTCCAGACACGGTTGGTGTACGAAAGAAAGTAAAACTACGTAGTAAGGTAAAGAACGCTACTTTTAAAATAAGATTTTTACGAGAGAAAACAAAATATTTCTTATCTATTGGGCCGGATGTTCGACAAAGCATACTATAATTTTTATTTCCTATAGCCTAGACATGCTCTTCCAGTTACCAAGTTTTTTTAAAGGAAAAAAAAAATAGAGAGATGTAAGTGTGAATATTATGAAAGCTGTTTCAGTGTCGAAAATGTTTTCATAATATTTACTTTTATATCATAAAAAGTAGTATTTCGTGTTTTTTCAATAGCGCGAAAATTCTGATAAATAGAACTTTCGTTGGGCTTTTGTTAATTCGAAACGCTCCACACGCTACAAAATCGTAGAAACATGCATAATGAATATTTTTTTACGACAAGCTGATATCTAATAAAAAATTATTGTTTTACCCACTACTGAAATATTAAAGACTAAATTATGTAACTTATTTTCTGTAGCTTCTTTTGAATTTTCTTGAAAGATCTTGAATTTCTGGTTGTGATAGATATTGAGATCGAACTAATTCTTTCTCGAATACCTCAGCGAAATTTATTTGTAAAATTATTAATTTTTTATGTAAATTAAAGCAGAATGTATATTTTATTTGTTGGAATATTTTCCAAGAAGCTACACGTACAATGTTTGGTTATATTTTCATAATCAAATAAAATCTCCCATCTCATGATGAAAGAGCTGTAATAAATGTATCTATTTAATTTCAGAAAATTTGCCATTGGAAGGACATGTCTGGGAGCAATGTTTAGGAAATTATGCCTCTGATGATCTCTTATGAATCCTTTTGCAAGCATCTATTGTGATTGGAATAATAAGTGCATGTAAAATGACAGGGTGTCCCATAAATTCGGACAGATTAAAAAAAAATCTCCCATAAACTTCACTAAATGTTTATCACGGAACTTGTCATTCGGAGGTTGGGGCGATAAGGTTCCTTTTAATTAAAATAGCTACCGACAGGTAGTGCTGTACCGATAATATCTCGGTAAAGGGCTAATTTCAGTCCGTCAAAAGACTATATGCTGCAAGGGAGGTTTGTTAAAAGACTATGTGCTGCAGCTAAGAATTCATGGGGGATCAATCTGTAGATTATGAAGAATAATGTAATCTGCTCGCAAATGCAAAAGAATGAAATACTGTTTGAACTTAACTTTTCTTATTCTATATGTAACGTATATCATGAGTACCATCTATCTATGACTATCTGAGCTAACATTTTTTAATGCCAAAAAATGTCGTTTTTCTGATAATCCTTGAGACGAAATTCGCATTATGATATTATGATACGCTCTTTTATTCAGCTTATCATAATTTTTGGAAAGACCCTGAGTTTATAGGGTACTTTTCAATTAATTACATTTCGGTTTCGAAGACTGCATTACGTTATATTAAAAAAAAAAGAAACAAAGAAAGAAAATTCAGGAATTTTCTGCTGTACTTATTAACTTCCTGAGCGGTATGGCCAGCATTTTCCAGTCATGAGATTTAGCCTGTCCATCAACTGGCTAACATCCACTACACATTATATCTATGTCTTCTTGGGAGTAATAGACCAAAATGTTTTGCAGTATAGTTATATCATGTCACATACATAAAAAGATAAGTGTCAAAAATTTTTAAAAAGATAAGGAAAAAAGAAGAAAAATTTTAAAAGATAAAAGTGCAATGATAAAAAGAAAGAAATAAGATAAAAAGAAGGCAAATTTGAAGAAAAAAAAGAAGATAAAATTGTCCGAATTTTCATGAAATAAATTAGATGGTTTCCCTGAACTTGGATCTAAACTTAATTTCTGGAATGTAAGAAATATAAGAAAATCTTTTATCATAAAGTAATAAATATTACCGAAAAATGTGGAAATTTTAAAAGCGATATTCCTCCAATTACTTGCTGTAAAACAGATTAAATATCTCACTAATACAAATGATTATGCACATGGAAAAAAATAGCTTTTACAGAAAAAATAAATTTCTTTTTAAACTTACATATGTTTGTGTATTCTTAAAATATATGAAATAAAAAGGATAAATAATATATTTACAGGTGCAATTCTCCTCTCGTATTCCCCTCCGGCATTTTGGCACAGAGTTCTGAAAAGTTTTTTAAATATTCATTTAATTATTTCTTCAAGTCTTTCTGAAAACGAACTCTCCATAATTTTAAAACAGATTTTTTTACGTGGTGAATGTTTTCATCTTACGAATGAATTTGCTTGTGGATTGATGCAATGGCTGTAACTGATGATGCAATCGTAGTGAAGAGCTTTAAGAAAAAGGGGGTATCTAATGCTCTTGATGGATCTGAAAATGTATGAGGGAAGATGGAGTTAACGGTGAAGAAGATAGTGACAACGGTGACTACGGCGACACCTTCAAATTGAAGCAGATAAAAAGACGCACAACAGTTTCAGCAAAACTAAATCATTTCAGGCCAAGGGAGTAACGGTGTGTAGCAATAACATTCAGGAGACAGCAAAGCAGAAATGTAAATGCCTCATTAGGCATTGTAATTTTAATATTACTATGTATTCTTATGGGAATGTAGGTTTCTTTTAAGTAAAAAATATTGCGGTAATCTTAGTATTGCAATAATGTAGTAGCTTTTCCATAAATACTTTTCATTTATTATGTTCGTGCTGTAGCCGCATTCTTCGAATAACTATTCGCATAATTTTCTCTGACTGTTTTCGTTTGGAAAGTAAATACAGTATGTGTATACTTCATATTTTTCGTTATTTATCTAAAAGTAAAATAATCTTTACTACCATATATATATTGAATGTATGATAAAAGCAAAATTTAGAAATACTGAAGTGTGAACGCTAAGACTTAGAAACGCAGAGGTGTTGATGACGTAGAACGTAAATCCATACCGAAAAGAAAACGTGGCAGCCGAATAGCGTTAAATATTCAACTTTATTTCAATTGACATGTGTAGCCACAGTTTACTTGGTACTCTAGTCGTGCCTATTTTCAGAACGTTTACATTTCTGAATACAGTTGCGACAGGAGCAGAGCACAGCGAAATAACGTCCAAGAAGCAACAGAGTTAGTTACAAGTGAGGTAAGCATTTATTCAATATGACAACTCAAAGAGGAAGGTTTTGGTTTTACAAAGGTTTCAATTCTAAGAGTTTAGGTTCCGAAATCACTACTTCATCAGCGATACGCAAGCTTTGTGGCATAGATTAATCTAGAAATGTTATTATTATTTTTAGAATAATGAGGAAATAATCAAATTAAAAATATCAATTAAAAGACCGTTACAACTAAATTTAGAAGTACAGTACAACTCCAATTATCTAAATTCTGATTATCCGAATCGCTTTCACAATTTAAGAAAAAAATAAGACGGAAAAGTACTGCGACTTGTGACGTGTTTGTGCTTCAAGCATTCAACGCAAGGGTTTCTATTTGTCGATGGAGTGTTCTTGGCTAGTGGTCATATAAAAACGAAGCGCTCTGGTCACCAAATGCGTTGCATTTGATAGAAAATACATAAATGAGTTAAATTACTCTGAATAGTAAAATTACACAGAATCCAAAAGATAGTGAAAATAAAACTAACTCAATTAATCTAAATATAAACAAATGTATATAAATTTTTTGATTTTGGAAAGGGCGAATAATTTTCTAATAATGGTAAAAAGGATGCATGGAGCAAAACCGCTTAAGAACTACTCAGGTAGAGGATAATTTTTGTAAATATTTTATATTTTATTTGGCATATTTAATTAAATGAAATCTCACACAAAAACGTAATTACACTAAGAACGGTATTATTTTATGTAATTCAGTACTAACTGTTATCAATAATTTCATATAATTATGCATTTTCAGCAATGGTATGCACCAATGGCACTGAATACAGCGAATGCGGTCCCCCTTGTCCCCCCACTTGCGAAGATCAAGAGCCTACTTGTCAGCAAGAGAGATGTGTGGATGGATGTCACTGTCCTGAAGGAAAAGTACTTGAGAACGGGCAGTGCATAATAATCGATCAGTGTCCATGCCATTACGGTGACATCATGTATTCTCCAGGAGACACAATGGATCAAGACTGCAATACATGGTAGGAGATCTATTAAATTGTCTTTAAGCTAGATGTTTTGAAATGGCTATTTCTGAAGTAATCCATATGTGTTACGTTAATTACTTAGAATCATCATTTTATTCATTTAGTTAGTTTAGTTTAATTATCAGCGTCATTTCTGTTATTAAATAATATAGTGTAGTCTTTAAATAATATTCCCGCTAAACAAATTAAAATTAAGCAAAATTCAAGAACATAAAACTAACCGAAAACTCTCGTAGCTCTCTGTTTCAATTTAACACTGAAATAATTTCAAACTGGGCAATTATGTTAGACAGTTTATTTTAATACATAATCTTTTTAATATAAGTTTTTAATTTGAAGCACAGAAAAAACATCTTTCTCTGTACATACAGTTATGTAACTCTTAGAAACTTGGATGGGATTAATTTTCCAAAAGGCTGGTCATTTGCAACATAATTCATTGGCCGGAAAGAACCACTAGCCATCTGTCATTTAGTCATCTCATAATCTAGAATATTACCCAAAACGCGTGACCAATTTCACACACACGAGTATAAAGAAATTCTGTTTCAAATTTGAAGGTGAACTCACCGGAAAAGGCATTCGAGGATATCTCACCCCGTTTTCTCTACCTTTGGAACTTTGCGGTTATACTGGCTTTCAGCAGGAAATTAAAGTCCTGCTCTTGCCAGTTCCTGATGTGATCCCTGTGGGCCTGCAGAGTAGAAACCTGAAGAAATTTTCTCTGGATAGAATGGTGCTGGAGAGAGAAAAAAGAAAAAGAACACTTTGCTCCTGTACTACATCTGGATGAATCCGCCAAGCAGGGTCCGGAGAAAGAACTTCGGATGACCTGTGTAGGATACCCGAATACTACGTTCATGTCGGAACCAGCACGTGGGAGTCACCCTCCAGAAACGATCCCGACGATGCTGCTGAACCAGAAAACTGACTTAAATTGAACTCAAGAGGTGGGCGGCAAAGGGCGGGTTTTTGTCTTCAGCCAGGTTGTAGAAGACTCCGTGAAATTAGCGGGATTCACATGTAATATTTAAAAAAGTTTGTTTATTCTTGAGGTAGTCCTGAATTATCTATTTCAAGTCGGAGTGGAGTCCTATTCGACCCGTAAGAGCTTTTGTGATGATTTTAGCACCTTATTTGAAGCACTTGGAGTTGTAATTCGTTTGCTTGTAGTTGCCCAGGCTGGGAAGCACTCTACTACCAAACCTTTCTACTAGACTTTATACTCACCAGCAATTGAAGAGCCTTATAGACATGTGAGCCTTTCCCGGGATGTGAACCAGGGCAGACAGAAGCTCTAATTACTATGCAGATCAGGGTGGTACGCTTAGACAGTGAATAATTATTATTTTAGCCATGAAACAGAGGGAAAAATAAAAAATGCTTTAAATGATAGATTAAAAAAAGAAGGGAGAAAAGGTCATCTAATATTGTAATAACTACTAAGCATAAAAACTTCACATTTTGGAGTTTAAAAAATACTATTCGCATTATATATCATCAAACCTTGTGGTGACTAATACTATTTAATCATGTCTCAAATTTCTCACACACGCACTGATGCTTGTGGACGCGCTTCAGGATGCCACACGAACTGGTGCCTAACTATAGTTCTTAGTGAGGTATTTTTGACAAGCGGAAACAGCGTCTATAAGGTCGGATTGTTTTATTAACTCACTTATTAACCAGAAGAATCTCACTTAGGATGATAACAGGGGAAGAAAAAGGAAGGGTGAACATTCTCACGTAGTCGAGCTTTCAGATGAAGGCACAATATTGCAATTGCAGAATAAATATTTTTTTTGTAGGAATTATCTTTCGTTCCTTGAATGAATTCAATGAAATTACACAGATCTTATCAATTTTAAAGTTCAACATCAGGCATGTCAAACTCGCGGCCCGTGAGCCTCATACGGGCCTGAGTTATATGTACCCATTAGCTCCCTTCGGATAATAACAAAAATATAATTCTAATACATGAATAAAATTAAAATTTCACCGAATATCGAAGCATTTATACAATAATGGATGCTATGATGGACTCCTGGGGTGGTTTCCCCGAAAAAAATGTTTAGCCCATTTCCAGAAGGAATTGACAGAAATTCAGTGCTATCCAAATCTAAAGCAAAGATTCAATGAAGAGAGAATTCTCGAATTTTTCAAACATTCGCTTGAGCGTTTCTCAGAAATACATGATCATTATATATAATTTCCATTTTCGATAGTGCGTTCTAACGCGAAAAGCATTTTTCACTTATGAAAAAGAACAATTTCCAAGAAGATCCAGTTTTACAGACATGCATTCACACTCTGTTCTGAAAATGCTAGTTCGAGAAGCAATGTTTCCAGTTTTCTGAATGCTGCTTGCAGGAAAAAGGTTTAGTGAAAGAAATAACAGGTATCAACTTTACGTTCCTATTAATATCTTAAGAACTACAACACTGAGTAAAATTTTGTGCGTATACTCGCTTTTAAATGTATCGTTAAGTATGAAAATGTCTTTCTTCTAACTACTTATCGCTTAGTGATTTGTTTTATTGAAGCCGAAATGCAGGCAACAGAAGGAAAACGAGTCTTCTGAAAAATGTTTTAGCAAGAATATTTAGGAATGAATGGAGGAGGTGTATTTGGGTCCATATTGCAGTAACGAATAGCATCTTGTAAAAGGAAATAATGTGTTTCTAGTTTAAAAACTGGTGTAGATTTAGAGAGAGAGAATTTTTAATTGGATAATCAAGTTATGGTTTAGGTAACATTTTATAATTAATATATTAATTATTAACCCAATGGGCTATTAATTTCGTTTTGGCATTTTGCGTTGGTTCACTTTTCAAAATGTTGCCACCAGTTGTTAGAGCCCCGCTTTATAGTTAAGGAAATTAAACAATTAAGAATCTGCATGAATGTATGTATGTGTCTCGCTCTGCTAAAGAAACAACGGTACCTAGAGACATCAAATTTTCAGTAGTTGTCTTCCACTAGAACATGGGGATATGGAAGCCCGAACTTGGAATTTGAAATTTGTTTTATTATCTATTTCATATTTTGTAAAACTTAACTATTTTAGAAATTTCAATCGAGCAAGCACCTGTACGAAAAAATTATCTCCAGCGCGCAAGACTGTGTATCAATTCTAAAGATTGCTATCTTACAATATTTTGAGGTATTGCTTCAATTGAATTTTATGGTTTAAGGCGAGAAATGATATTTAAAATAAACGTAACACGCAAAGCGTAGAAAAACGCCCTTTGGCGTATGTAAAATCTGAAGCTTTCAAATTTTTTTTAATAATTAAGTATTTCATTTTTATTCGAAAAGTTTCAGCAATGACCGAGTAAGTAAGAATTGCTTTAAATTCTGTGCGTTTATACGTACACTGTTAAAGTAATCACTTTGCAAACTCTCAATTTCTCGAAAAAAAATATGGCTTTTATTAATGTGATTATCTTTAAATAATCCCAAGGAATAAATAAGTAATCTTTTAGTTAATATAAATCATTGCAGAATAAAAAATTCGGTTAAACTAAAATACGTTATTTACAAAAATCGCAGTAAAGGAAATGTGAAAGCAGAATCATGAAAGGTCAATAAAGATTATTAAATAAATTAATTACTTGACGTAATAATTAGATTAGGTTGAAAGACCAATGAACTGGAAGAATGCAAGAGTTTGGGTTAAATATTCTCTTCCGTAGTAATTATAGGTAAATCTTGGAAAGCATGGCATAGATAAATATGAAATTTTCTCAACCTAACTATTATTCATGAAAGTAAAAATAAAACTAAAGTAACCAAATATGCTAGAATTAGGTAAACTTTGCATAACCAAAATTTTTTGACGGAAAATTAATTATCGGACAAAGTGCTTAGTGTGTTTTTTGAAAATTTCACAAGTTGCAAAATTTTCTCAAAAGTGCTACAGAAAAAAGCAGATTCCAAAATTTAAAAAATAAAATTATCCGCATTGTTATTATTAAGTTTATTTCAGCTTAAAATTTTCTTTCCTAAAGTTTCTTAATTTTCACAGAAAATTTAAAATTTAACAACTTTTCTGGATTTTGTTACTGGATTTCCTGATTTTTCGTTCCAATTTGTTATAACATTTATTTTTTAACGTTAGCTATATATTCGTTATTAATGGCAAGCAGAATAAAAAACTTGAGTCTATTTGCTAAACGATAAAACAACGTGATAATAGCTTAAATATGTCTTATTTCTTGGACATCAACGTAGAAGGAATTTCGATAAAAATAATTGAAAAAAAATATGTTCATAAAAGTACTGAAAACTGCAATTCTGTCTCAGTTTATATCAAAAAGTGATGAAGTTACAATTTTTTTTCTTTCTAATTACTCAGTATTTTTCTAATTATTTATTTTTTTATTTATTCTATTATTTAATTATTTCTTCTAGTTTTAATAATATTAAATAACGTTTTGAGGTTCTTTCTCAAAACAAAAGAAATGCCCAATCATATAAAAAGCTAAGAAAAATATGGGAAGCATTATTTGGTTCATAATAAGACTTTTTTTTTATAATAATATCAATTAAAATATAATACCGTTCTCCGTTTATAAGCATAGAGAGTTATCTTCACTTAATGCTATATATACCTAGATTTTCGTTTCTAAATTTATGAATAAATTTCAAAAGCCGTAGAAGACGAAATTTAGGAGGATTTATAGTTCCTATGAAATCTGAAAAATTTACGTTATATTAAGAACAAGGAATTTCCAATTTGGTTATTAGTTATCAGTGAAGTTTTAATGCCTTGTGATGCGAAAGATTTTCTAACTTTAAGCCAGTAACAGATACACAAAATAAGAACATTTATTAAAACATCGACATGCAAGATTCCATCACAATCCCAAAAATTCGCACCTTGGACCAAAATCTTAAATACAAAATATCGTTTCACTCTTGACACTGAATCACAAAAAACAAACGGTTTACGTTTTACGGAGTGTTTCTCTTTTCCTTATATGTATTTCTGTCTCACTATAATGTTAAGCTTTTACCAGCGCCATAACAAACCGCTTTAAGATGACTAAATAGATTATGAGACTGATCTCTCTGTATATAAAAGGAAGAGCCTGTCTATGTGTGTGTCTTTCGTTCGTACTGCGCATAAGCTAATAGACTCAGGGCTATGAAATTTTACATAGGTGCGTCTAGGGAAGAGACAGTGCACCTCAAAGCGATGGTTTTCAAAATTCGAGTGAATTCTATGTAGTTTTTTAATTTAATGTTTCTCTTGGATATAGAGGTTTTTGAGAGAAGACGACGGAAAATTGATTAATTTATTTATTAGGATAATTAATATTTATATTAAGGGATATTGCTTAAATCATTGTAATTTTTTATATGTAATACAATTTTAATGAAATTTGTGTTTTTTTATTGTTGTTTTATTTGATAAGGTTGTTCTGCAGAGTAAAATTCTGTGCAGTTTTTAAATTTAATGTTTGGTGTTCCCTTTAGACATTTTTCCAGTATATGTAAAAGCCAGAAGAAGGCTGGCCGCGTAGCGACTAGTATAATATAAAAGAGAATAGGAAAACAATATGAACTAAAATAGAATGCAAATTCATTCTCTAAATTTAAAATAAATGAATATAATAAATAGAAGAACTATACCACTTAATGCGAGGTCATTACTATACAATTCTCGTATTTCTTATTTGTTATATTTTTCCTGCATTCAAGACATTATTTTATTTAGGTTTGAGATCTGGTCTTTTAGATCCGTATGTATGAAGAAGCAATTTCGTTTTCTCAGACAGAATGAAAATAATTTCTGTGCGATGAATCAGAAAATTTCTCATTCGAAAGCTTCGGATTTTTGCTTAAAGAAAATGTGTTTTTACATTGCTGTACGATGCCTAAATTGTTATTGTAAAAAAATGTTTTATTCCACTAAAATATAAATTCATTTTTTTGGGAGGGAGGTAAAAATAACTCCGGCAAAAATTGAAAAATGTGAATTTTGATCTACTGTCTTTGCTGAACTGTATTGTACATTTTATAACGATTATTCGTCATCGGGCAAAACAGGAACTACGGAAATATGTCTGAAAACTCTTTAATTGTTAGCATCCTACTTCGGCTATATCATCAGTGTTGTTCTCCAGCCTAGAGAAACAGGGAGTACAATAAGTCCCTCTTCCTCAGGTGCGCCGGCACTTGCAAATGCTCACATACAGTCAGGGGTTTAGCCTATGCACTAATTCTCTTAGACTGAAATACGAGAAATATCGGGCCGATGTGTGGTCTCGTATGACAAAATTTCCATGAATTGTGAACTCGCATATAGTGCACCACTACAACCAGGATTCTGCTGAGAAAATATAATAGTCAGTACAACTGGTGCAACTTCGAGATTAACTAAATGGATGTATAACTGGATTTCTTGACTAAAATTACATAGACGGTCGAGGCGAAATTCTATTGTAGTGGAGTGTTAAACCAACACAACTCACACTCTGGTAACATTTAAAAATCTAAAAAGGCAACAAGAGATCAGTCATCAAGTGGAGTCTACCTTCATTATCTGTTGCATAATTTTCAGTACCTGATAGGTCTTGTATAATACGACAAACCCTTAACACGTTGAGCGCGGCGCCGAATTTGTTGACATTCCATTCAGCCGGGAGCGAGCTACGCCGTATTTTTGTTTAGAATGTTTCAATGCATTTCATTAAAACTTAATTTGATCACATTTCATTGAAATTATATTTATTTTTTCCTTCGGATCGTCTTAGCATGTTGTTTAGTAAAACATGTAGAATGTTGTTTAGTAAAACTCTTGTTGTATCTACTAATCTGTAGATAAACTCTAGCTTATCGCGTTCAAAAGTATTTTCAATATTTAAGCACTTTACTATATAAACTGTGTGTCACGATAAGTCACAACTAGGTTAAAAATATACTTAATTGTAACAAAAATTTCATTATGTAAAGTACTAAATCGAGGTAAAATGAGCAATTATTGTTTTAAGATTTAAATTTTTATTTATGAATTTTCCGAAAATTAAAATTATTTGTGTAAACTAAAGTTATTTCAAAATAGAAATAATTTTCTTTACTAGGGTTTACTTTAATTTATCAGAAAAGCAATTTCTGGATGATTTTGATTTTAATTTCTTTAACCGTAGTTATTTTAGCAAATAATTGTTCACCAAATACTTTATTTTGGTTTCAAAAACATTCACCAAAACACATGAAAACTGTAATAAAGCCATGTTAATAATAGTACCACGTTAATAATAAATAAAGCTACGTTTAAGCTCTTCACTTAAACATTTATTTTTGTCTCTCTAATGAGTCGTTTTTACTTATTTACGCATTAAAGGACTAATCGGCTCAAATAACCGGTAGTGTGTAAGAAACATCTTGTTAGCAAAGCAATGAACAGCACAAATTAGCAAAACAAATTGAAAGTTGACCTTAGAATAAGAAAAAAAAATCCTAGCTGTTGTGTTATTACACAAATATAAGGAAATTTAATGGTAAATAAGAGCTAAAAGAAGCCGAGCACTATTATTTTTATTTTTTTTCTAATACTTTTACAGTGTTTGCCAAGATGGGAACTGGCAGTGTACCGATTCCGTATGTCCTTCAACGTGCTCTGTTTCTGGACCTCATTTTACCACCTTCGATGGCCTTATGTATGACTACCATGGTGAATGTCCTCACTACCTTGTTGAATCTGATGACTTCCATATCCAGTTAGATTACGGTACGAATTGCAGAGAAGATATCTATGTAAACGGGGTTTGTATTAGAGGAATCACCGTTCATACTTCCAGAGGAGCTGTTGTTAAAATAAAATCAACTATGGAAGTAAGAAATTGTCTTTTACTTTTAAAAATTATGCAGCACGTATTAATCATCAAATGATACACGCTAGCGCTTTTCAATTGTTTTTCAAGTGGAAAACACTTTAATAGATTACAATTTTATGTGGACCATCTTACTCTTGTGCTTTTCGAAAGTAATTTTGTTAACATACGTTACTATCAGTATACTCATATTTTTAAAATACAGTTAGTTAAAATTCCTTTAATTTTATATTGATATTAAGCAATAAAACTAACAGAAGAAAATTTATTATTATTTGCAATAATTGAAAGCTGTTAGAGTTTGAATAACCTTTGTTTTTGATTATAAAAATTTAAATAAATATGGGTACTTACCTTAATTAGATGGACTTACCTTAATTATATGCTGCTGAGAAGCACCATAATTAGAGTACTTCAAATCCTAGAAATGGAAGCTAGAAAGCTAGAATGCTTGCTAGAATGGGAAAGATATCTATAGGGTAACGAATACCATATTTCCGAAGTTCACATCCCCTGTATCATCATGGACAAATGAGCCTCCACTAATATTTCTGTAATTTAGTATGACCTTTGCTGCGCTTTAAGCAAGATGGTTTGAAATATTTTGTCACGCAATTTCCTGCACAAAGTAATTAAAGCATCCTGGATTTCTTGTGAAAATTTGCAACGCGAATTTAATCAAATATAAGCATAATTACGTATGTAAATAGTAAAGTCTTAGCATTTAATATTGCAATGTTTATATGAAAGGGATTTCTATATTAATAGCCAGTGCACAGTTTTATTCAAAATGAAGTTTCTTAATTTGCATTCCTACACATTTAGTGTGCTAAATTTTATGTTAATAACTATTCCCGCTTAAATGCATTGCCTTTACAAGAAATACTCCTCAAGCAGAATGAATTTATTTTCTTCACGACGAATATATTTAATTTATCCATATATAACTTTTAATGTTAGCAATGGTTATATTCAGATCGTTCACAAAATTCGCTTACACGTTAAATAATCTGTAATATATATAAAATTTAAATAAATACTTATTATACTCATATAGTTATATAGTGCTTTATAAATTGTACTTATGCCCTGAAATTAATGATAGAACAGGGAAAAACATTATTTGTTAAAATGGAACAATTATTTCGATACAAATAATATATACAAATAAGACACTCATTTCGAAACGGAGTATGTATATTGGTAATAACTGTTACGGAGAAAGGCTTTATGTTAGTGTACGTACTCATCAAAATAACTATTTTATGGACTTATTTTGGAAAGTTACCTCGTATTCCCTCAAGAGTGCTACGTTGAGTCCTTAGCATCGCGGTGTAATAACTGTAATACAATACGGTGAAGTCCAAGAGTAAATACGGTAATGCTCTGTCCTATCCTGTCCAGTATGCGGATGAAGAACACACAAAGTCAAAAAAGTTTACTGACAGGAAAATAACAAAAATTCACAGGGCAGTTGTACACATAATGAAATAGCTTAAAAATTTAAACTAGTAAAAGCCTAGTGGCACATTTTCTGCATATTAAAAGAATTGATTCATTAATAAAATTTAATAACAAGCAATATTATTAATTTATTAAAAAGCAATAGTTTTTTCTTTCTTACAGGTAACAGTTAATGGACGTGAAATGACATCCCTTCCTGTTATGGCACCAGGAGTTTACGTTGGAAGAGCTACTTCCTCTTATATGAAGGTGAGATAACTTAAATGTTTCTCTGACTTGAAAAAAACTTGAATTTTCGGTAATTGTTGAAATTCATAAGAGTAAGAAATAAAATGATTAATACTTAATAAATTAATTTTAGTTTATCTAATGAGCAAATATAACGTTTAAGCTAACATCCAGTTATCCGTGCTCTTACCTGGAACTGTTAGTTTGAACGTAAACTATGTGTAATTAACTCTGTAGATTCTATACTTATTTATTATACAAAATATATTCACTTAACGACACCTTCAGCCGCCCTTATGAGCATGATGGTTAGAGATACTAGTTGCCTTCTCCCTGGAACCGAGTTCGAATCTCGGTAAAAGCTTAGAATCTGTACCTGTATATTGTCTTTGCGGATACAAGGCGGGATACTAAAATACAAGGCTGGCCGAAAGAGGTATGGTGGCACGAAAAGAGGGGTGGAAGACCTTGGATCCGTCTCTTCGAGAATTCGGACTGAGCTGGGCAGTCCAACCAGGCAGACTTCGCTGCGACAAAAATTCGTGGATTCGTTCTGGTACGATTGTGATACAAGTGAGATAAGTCACAACACGCGATACTTCAATAAGAGTTACTTCGCAAATGTTCGGCAAGTTATCGACCTGCAGTTAACTTACATAAGCACGTTGACTGAAATTAATTTACATAGGCAAAGTTAAAATTCACTAACTTTATTTGTACACGACTGGCGAATTACAACTAAAGCGAGAATTTAAAAACTAAAGAATGGATTATTCATGGACAATAGCTGATAACATTGTTAGGTAAAACTCCTCGAAATTGATAGTTATCAAAATCAAATCCTCTTAGTCAATGAGTATCGATGTACAACTTTTCCACTTATGGCAGATGGGGGTCCTTACGAGTCAAGTTTCCCTTAAAACGTCCTCTACGAAATCATTCCTGCTCTTGCGTGCTTTTTTATTACTCAAACCAATCTAATTATGTCTGCACATTTTCACTGAAACTGGCTGCTTATTATGCCGTTTTAGTCAAAAGATAAGCGAAGAATTTAACAACATCGATCCAACAGGAACATGACACTATCTATTACTGCCTTTTTTAAAAGTTGGGGAAATTTTTTTTTTTTTTTTGCAACGAAACAGCAAAATACTGAATTTTATAGTAATAATTTAAAAGCAAAACACCTTCACTGAATAAGTATATAGGTAGGCAGGATTGTATTTAAGTTATTATATAATAAAATGGATTAAAAATATACATGCAGCATACATTTCTGAGTTAATTGCGTCACCGGCCGTTGTCAATTCAATCAAATATAATTCTTAAATCACTGATTGCCTTTTTTATTATTATGTATATAATAAGTTGCAAATCGTTGAATTATTGTTTTAGTATATAAAAGCATTAAAAGATGTTTCAAAGCCGAAATCTTCAAAAAATACTAATATTCAAAAACTTTAAAGATTTTAAATAAACATATATCTTAGCTATGAAATTCAAAATCTTTCAGACTATCTGTTTAGGACTCATAAAAGGAAACATTCGATCAGCTTATTTTGAAAAATCAAATCCAAAACCTTTTAAATCTCTATTCTAAGTTTCTCTAATTCAGGTTCTCCACGAGAATAATAGTCTCAAATGCGTATGAAAAATGCATCACTGTTCCAGGAAGAAAATTTAAATCAGATCACCTATGTCCACTTACGGCGAATATTTTTTAAGAAAATGCAATTCTTCAAATGAACACATTAAGCACGAATCAGGCAAAATATTTTACAAGCAAATTTTCTTTCAGTAGAAAGGAACTTTCTCATTCGTCCATCCTTTTTAGTTCAATAAATGTAGCCGAAGGGAAAACGAACCTATTAGCTAATAGTTTATCTTGCTCAAAAATGATACAGTATCTGAAAATTATAAAGTTAGCGGGTGCCCTCTGTTTTTTACAGAAACACAGGTTATTAGGGAAGGATCTTTTTTTTTATTTTTAAAATGAATAATACAAGGTATTGAAGTAAAAAGAAGTAAAAAGAATTGAAGTAAAAAGAAGACTTACTGAAAATGCTTTAGCACAAATGATCATAACGGTATTGAAGTGGTGGTACTAACGTATGCAGAATTTAAAATAGCGATAACATAGGAAAAAGCATTGGTTCTACATTTTCGAACTTGCGTCTAAAAGCGTACCCCCTGGTACCTTCACTATTTGTGTGTATTTATTTTATTTTTGTGCTTTTTACTTCGCACATTTTTACGCATTTTTTTCTGTATGCATCCCTGCTGTAGCATGATTTTACTTTGTAGAGTCAGTAGGAGTTTTGATGCTTAGAGATGGGAAAATGTGCAATGCCTCGCCAGGATTCGAAACTTGAATCTCTTGAATACTCGTCACGTATGCCTCCAATTACACCATGAAGGCATGCAGAAAGGGGGCCGAAAATACCTCATAACTTCCCTGCTATCTAATTTTATAGTCTCAAGCCAATTAAACTTGTGATTAAGAGGACGGTTTCCTGTCTTTTTCCTTCCATCATCACATTACAAGGTTTGCCAGCTCTAGGCTGATATATATTAGTTGTTAATAATCACTGAACTAGACACATCGCGCTCTGCCGAATATTTGCTTTTAATTCATCATTTGTTTTTGCTTATGCATAGTAATTATGGCTTGAAATAAATCGGTTATACGAATGTGGACAGGACGGACTTCATTCTCTGTGTTTTCCTGCAAAAAGCTGCATGTGTGGAGGGAAATGAAAGCATCTTTCAGGGCCTAAATGTACAACCACACATTTTGCCGCGAAAAATACTTTTTTCTGTGTTTGCTATCACCCTCTAAATTGTATTCCATTTGTACTGAAATAACCTGCATATATATGTAATATTTTTGCGGTCGGGCACATGAGTGAAGCTTAGCAATCTGGTCACATCAGAATTCTATACATTGTTGTGGCTGAGTGTAAGGTGGCGTCCAATGACGAAGAATTTAAATTCATAGCTCTATATTTTTACTCAAGTCAAAAAGCGGATCATTATTCTTTACTAAATAAGATTAACTTTAAATTCACTGCGTCATAGTATTCGAAGAAAGGGAGATGAGAAGAGCAGCAGCATAGGTTTTAACAGCAGTTTAGAGGGAGAAATCGGTCTCTCACGCAAAATGGTGCGTGTTCTTCATTCATAGAAGTGGTTACGTAATATGCTCGAATGTTCTCGAAAGTATTGGTCTAGGGGGAAGATTCGGAAATTGCGAAAAGTTAATCAGAGTTTGCTTGTTCGCATAGAGCAAAGTCATCGTATTTTTATATTTTACATATATGTGCAAAATATATCTTTAAACGTACAGAGAGAAACACTGGGATGGTTTTGTAATTCATTTGATAGAAACAACAATATCTGAAATTATATAAAATATTCAGCACTCAAGTCAAGTCACGATTCCCCACAGACATAGGCTAAATCCATTGAAAAGTTAGAACATTATTTTTAAAAATCAGAAGAAGTTACCAAAGAAAGCTTCTTGACATCTTAACTTTCCAAAGACTTTAGCATTTCTGTGCAACTAAAGGACTCCGTTAAAATTTGTTGAATGAACTTCGAACAATTTTTAATTCAGTAATCAAAATTATTTTGGCTTATTCTTCCGTTAACTGTAAATCGTTTTCGAGTGCATCGTTTCCTTTATGCCTTATCAAATTTGCTCAATTCTTTCTAGTAGCACTGTATTTTCCTCACATAACAAAATATGATACTTTAGATATTTAGCAAAAAAGTGCATTTAGATTCTAAGAATTGTTAATAGCATGCTGTAAGAGAAGATAATTACAAATTTCCTTAAAATTCAAATTTTACTTGTTGCATTATACTATTTTGTGAATAATTTTGCGCATTGGATCTGCTAGTATGCTTTATTTTCGTTATAGGCACACTTGAAAAGTGGTTTAGAAATACTCTGGGACCTAGATTCTACTATTCATGTGTATTCTCCTGTAGAACTATTTGGTCAACTCCGTGGACTTTGTGGTACGTTTACTAAAAATCAGCAAGATGAATTTTTGACCCCTGAAGGAGATGTGGAAAAAACAGCAAATGTCTTTGCAAGAAAGTGGATGGTAGAAGAATTGTGCCAAGACATACCACAGGTTCCAGATGTTACCGAAGAGGAGAGACCATGTGAGAAATATCCCGGAAGAAGAGAAATAGCAGCTAAAGTGTGTGATTTTATGAGAGGGCCGGAATTTTCTGGTAAGCATAAATATTTTTAAAAATATTTTTAAACTTTTATTTTAAATTATGATAAATAAATGTTATGATAAATATTATTTTTGTCTTTCTGCGTAGATGAAAAATAACGTCAAAACACGGCCTACTTTTGTAACACAGAATTTCTTTGATGTCTAGTAGTTTATTGTAAATATACAGTTGTCTTTTTGCCATGAATGTAATATATTTATCTTTAAGTAGGATTTTATACGAATTGCAAGGATTTTTTTAAATATTACATGGTGAGTAACATTTCCCTTTTGCTAATTTTAGATATCCGCTGACAACCAAAACATATCAAATGATACTTAATATGGTTAATTTCTTTGCTTAAAAATTGCATCGTGTTTTTGTTATAATGTGATATAAATTTCTGAATACAGTCAAACCTCATTATTGAGTTGTTCAGATAATAGATATCTCCGCTCATGTGTTCAAATTCTTTTGATTTTTACTACCGTAGAAGTTGTATACATTTATATTATTTAAGTTTTGTATCTAGCCCATATACTGTACATACTAGTCGTATGTAAATCTAGCCCAAATACTGTTTTCTTGTTGTCTTAAAAAAACTATAAAAATATGAACTACCAAGTTAGCTTCCTTTTTAAAAGCATTCTCAAATGACGCCATTGATCGGACCCTCCAAATATATTCAGTTTCTAGGAACATACTCCAAATTGTGTACTGTGCTTTAAATTGAACATCATGAATTCTGTTTTCATCATGAATATCTGAATTTAGTTTTGAATTAGAATATTTTCCTTAAAAATAATAGCAAAAGGAATAATTTAACTTTTGAGTTATTCCTGAATTTATTCATTTCCCTCCAAAAAAGGTTTCAGATTATACTTGGGAAACAAAATATTTTATTTTAGAGTCTTTGAGAACCAAAAACTTTGATTAACCAAAAACATTTCTTTATTTTATGTGCCTTGATCGGTTTTAAGGTTGATTCTAAATTGATGGCTTTCAAATTTTTGTATTTCCCTGACTTCTCTTCTTCCCTCTATTTCTTAAAGCGATAGTTATAATTAGAGCAGTTGGTTTTAATGAAGTTGATCCATAAAGTATATTTCAGTAAAGAATAGTAGCAAGAACAAAACGTAAACAGAAAATCATTATAAAACCTTTCATCTGAAAAATGCACCTCCTAATTAGCAAACTTATGTCACTGCTGCTCCAAATTGTTGACATTATAATGGAAACTTAAATGCAGTTTTCTTAGATATATGTGTACTCGATCAGGATTAAAATATTAGATTCGTCTATGTAGATAAGGTGTCCGCCGATAACATAACGGCGAAAACATCGTGGACGAAAACGTCGCGGAGAAAACTACGCAAAGCGAAAACGTCGTGCTACAAAACATCGTGGGAGAAAACATCGCAAAGTGAAAACATCGCAGTCCTAAAACATCGTGGTACAAAACATCATCGTCGAGAATCAAGCGGTTCAAAAACTTCGCAGTTTAAAAAAATCGTCGTCGAAAATATCGTGGTAAAAAATAAAGTATCTACAAATAATCGCATGACGATAACATCGAAGACATGCTTTTTTCATACATGCTTTAATAACTGTTAATGAATATTCCCATAATGATTTGTGAGCGCAAGATGTAAAGAAGGATAATTTTTACTTTCACATTTTTTATTAACTAATAAATTTTTGCTGAAAAAGTTAGAAGGAAACTTAAGCATAGCAAATTAATGCAACTGATAGCAATTAATGGAATTTTAAACCAACATAGTTCTCCCACGATGTTTTCGGCTGTAACCGTAGATAAAATTATATTATCTTTATTTGCTTTAATTATTTAAAAGCATTGTTTTCATTTTTAATTTGAGTATATTATTTCCATTATTTTCTTTTATTTATTTAATCGTCCTAAAGGGTAGTTTTGAAACACGATTTTGAGTTGTTTTACGTTTCATTCAAATCTTGCCATTCGGGAAAACGTAAGATATTATTATTAGCCCAAACAGCGTTAGCCCAGAAAGGCTATTAATTTCGTTTTGGCATTTTGCATCGATTCACTGTAAACGGCGAATCCCTTTTCGAATTGTTGCCACCAAATATTATCGCCCTGTGTTATATTAAATGAAATTAAATAAAAAAAATCTGCATAAATGTATGTTTGTTTCACGCATTGTAATAAAAGACCGGTACCTAGAGCCATCAAAGTTTGAATAACGTAATGATCCTACGAATATGGGCATCTGTAAACCCTGATTTGGAATTTGGAATTTGTTTTATTATCAGTTTCATATTTTGTAATACTTTAATGCATTGTTAATTAACAAACTCAACGATTTCAAAGCAAATAATGAAAAAAAAATTATCTCCAGCGCGCGAGACTGTATCGGAAATTCTAAACATATGCTCAGTTTAAAATTATTTTGCAATATTGCTGTTGAATTAAATTGTACGGTTTAAGTGCGAAGAACATGATATTTAATACTTAAATGTAACACACTAAATGTTAACTTTTATTTAAATCTGAAAGCTTTCAGATTTAATTTTCTGAAAAACTAAGATAAAAAATTTAAATTACTAAGAATCGAATAACAGTCCGTAACTTACGGAACAAACGAATTTGTGATGACGTCGTAGGCCACTCGAACTTACCTAACTATGACGTCAGAAAAAAGTACGTGATCTTTGATGTTATGGGCTACCTTTTGAGACTTTTCAATTCTTCTCTCGCTACTTTAATTAAGGGGAAAACTATATACACTCGTAAAAGCTAGATTGCAAAAATCCCTTTTTTTCCTTGAATATTTGTTACATAAACCTAAATAAACAATGTAGTAAATATTTCTTGCATGTTTAAATTTCGAAGCCTTTTTCTTTGAAAAATACACTCCCGTAGATTTCATTACGTGCTTCTTTATCAGGCAGAGGTGCTTATCGTCGCTTTAAAATGACATCACTCTGGCACTGAAGGCACGTTAGCGGTATGGAACTGTTTTCATGTAAAATTTGCTCCTCCACATACAATCATTTGCCTAAATGACTGCTCAGAACCCATTTATCAAAAGACAAAGTCGTCAGTAGCAGGTCAATTTCCTAGCCTAAATGTTTGATTTTTGGCTCTTTCATATCTTAAAGATTTGGTCTGCTGTGGAGAAGTATCAGTTTTGCCAGATATGAAATATATTCCGCCAGTTGCGAAACGCTTTAAGGGAAAACACGACCCTCGATTCTTTAAAACGAGCTATTTTATGATTTCAAAAGGTAGTTGCCCTTAGTCGACCATAGAGACGAAGCATATTTTTCCCTCAATATATAAATCAACTCTGCAGTTTACAATCAAATTTGGATAAAGTACAAATGTGCCCCTTTATGATGAATTTTGAAACTATTTTTTAGCATTGCATCATTAATATGTTTCTAAATTTTAATAGCTTTCTAATGAATAGACAGCTAAAACAGGTAAGATTTAATTATAGATACTTGCAGATGACTTTAGTTTTCGTTTTTATACATTATATGGCTTTGTAACAGTAGTACTTATAGTCCTCTATATACACACTCAATATTAGAAACACAGTACGGGGTATTAAATCTACTTAGTTTACGATAAAATCAGGAAATAGAGGTTGAAAATAATTCCTTGAATTTGAAGTTTAGAAGAGAAATCATATGCTTTTAATGGATAAAGACCTACAGTCCAGTTGGAATTTAAATTTCAAGGCTTCCTGTAGTATTCCATCATCAAGTAGCTTCTATCGACTAGGCCAGCGGTTCTCAACCTTTTGATTAACGCGTACCATCTAAACAAAAATTGAAAAACTTTAGTACCACCACTACAAAATACTACTACCACCACCACTCTTGAACAAAGCTCAGATCGCATAAATTTACGAGTATTAGCGAAATAACTTAATCAGGATGTGGGGTTTTAATTTTTGAATTTAATAGTTAAAAATACTTTGCTTCTTTGCGTACCACCTATTTTTCTCTTGCGTACCACCGGTTAAACATCCCTGCGACTAAGCTATCGCAGACAACTGGAAGGCTTAAATAATGTCTACTTAGAAGAAAATTCAGAAGAATAATGATAACTGTATTAAACATTCTTCAACGACACATTAATGATCATTGATGTCCCAATGAAGCACTTCGCACTAACTTATTTTATACTTGAAATTTAATACTTGACTTTACATTGCTTATTTCTCAAAAAACTTCATTGGTATTTTCCTTTTAGAACTTTAATTTTTAATTGCTAATTTCTAAAGGTACCACTTTATTGGTATTTCTTTTTGGACATTCTTCACTCTTTACTTTAGGTTTTGACTTTTACCCTTGCCTGCATGAATGACGAAAGACGAATTGAATGATTGGAGAGTTAGGTTTGGAGGCAACTTACCTTTGATAAGTCTGTCTCCTGCCTGCTCAACAGTCATTCACTTATGCATTTAAAAAAAAATTTTTTAGATTAATTTTAATTTGCTAAATTGGTGAATTTATTTTCATTGGTTTGGTTTTGCACTTGATTTGCTTATGCTATCTGAATTTAAATGATATTGTAGATTAGTTCGAAAAATTAAATCTTTTATATGTTTGCGCATTTTTTAATTATTTTAACTTTAAATTTGCTTTTTTACGTATATACATGTTTGTTAAAAATTTAAATTTGTTTAAATTTAAATTTCGTTACTTGCAGCAATGGCGCAAAGAATTAATTAAATTTGTATTTAAATTAAATTTATTTAAATTCAATTTATTCTTATGAAACATGGTTTATTAAAATAGTCTTTTTAGTCTAAATTTGTGATTATAGTACGTATCTAATGCGCGAGCAAATTTAGTTACAAATTAAAGAAGATTGTTATGACTTCATAAAACTCTCTAATCCAAGCATGGTAGGAAAAGGCTGTAATTTCAGACAAACACACATTTTACTGATTTGCGAAAGAAATAGTTTTCTTATTATGAATATAAAAACTATTTCTTAATATGAACTTAAACAATATGAACTCAATCTTAAAAATTCTTAAATCTTTTATACCTAATTAATATTAATTTAAATTCGTATTTAAACTCTACAGTTGATAATTCTTTAAGAAATTGTTGAAAGTTCTTTATTTTAAATCTGAATTTGCAACATCAGAATTGTAATTTTGTAAATAATATTTATTGCTGTTTTGCTTCGCATTCTTAGAAATGCATAAATTATGCATTTTTCAAAGAGATATAATCTCTATCCAAGATCACCTATAAAAATGAAACTATTAAAGATGAATGCGTTATTTGCGCTAAAAAAATTGTAAGAGATTGATGAAAGATAAATGCATGTTTAGATATTCAATGAAGATTTTATACGTGAGTTATAAAAATAGAGTTATATTAAATCATACTTTTCTAGGATAATATATTTTGAATAAGTATAATAAAGATAAGAGAGGAAAAGAAGTAAATTTCTATTAAAAAATATTTCTAAGGATAGATTATAAAGAAATTATCTTAAGAAAGATTCTAAACTTTATGTCAAGATTATTTTTAATTCATATTTTTCAAGATATAACCAAAGTATTTTCTAAAAGGTTTTAAACATTACCTCAAAGTTTCATTTAAGGAATGTTCTTTATGCATTAAAAGCTTTATGTTTACCTGAATTGTGTTCGAATCAGTTAATATTCTGTTGCATATATTTTTTAAATATACACAATTTTTTTTTTAAATTCTGAAAGGATTCAAATTTTGACGTCACTATTGAGAGTTTTTTTTAAAGTTTCTTATGCACTGAGTGAGCTTGCAGTTTACCAGTCTTCTGTTCGACTCACACCTGCTAACACAACTTAGTCTTTTTTACTTTGTTATTATAAACAATACTTTCTTCACGCTTACGCTATATAAAATTCAACAGAGAAAAATCACAAAACATTTTAAAGCAGCACATGTTTCGAATTCTGGTTACAATGCTAAAGTGTTACCATTAATTTGTTTAAATCTTTTCTCAATTTATCCTATCACTGTTCAATTTTCATAGTAAGATGGTTTACAGAACATTTTTTTGTTTGCTTATTATTTACGTCTTGGCTTAACTTTATTTATCAAACATTACATTTTCGAACTTACGTCGCATAAAATTCAACAGAAAAATCCCAAAATATTTAAGAATAGCATATCTTTAAAATTTCCGATAGAGAGTTAAGGTGTTTTCGTATATATTTTTTATATAATCGCTATATTATTTCTTTAAAAATAATTCAGGGAGATAACATTTGGTGGAAAAATTCTTTTATTTGAATATTGATACTGATAAAGTGAGGATCACGATCAATGGAACGACTGGTGCTAGAAAAGACGACAACGCAATAACTGATTTTTGCCACTAATTTCTGAGTTTTTATTTCCTATTTTCTTTAAAGTAGCAGTCCACTTTTTCTCATAAATTTCTTGCATTTCCTCACCCACTTAATTTATTCTCTCAAGAAAAGTTTCAGTGCTGCTGTTTTCCCCTTTATGGTTGGTTATAAATTATGTATCAGAACCTAATTCAATAACAACTTTGCAGTCACCAGATGGTTGAATTGGATTAAACCGGTCTCTTATAGGATCAAACAAGAGTCATTTGCTGATTGAACTGAATTGGTTCCTTTATTACGACTGATCGTTCACTAATAATGACCCTGATGAATAAGATCGGGAACGGGGAGTAGATGAAGAACGATGGGAAAGAATGAAACAAAGAGCCGAATAAATTGAACGAGCAGTGGGATCCGAAGAATTGATTCTGTTAAACTGCCAACCATCTGTACTGATTTCTTTAAACCATAGTTTTGAGAATCCTAAAACATCTTTCTACACAGAACTAACAATAAAAATGAATATTAAAAAATTGTTAAAATACTTGGGAAATGATAAAAATGAAACTCATCACTTTTAACATGGGAGGTAAAACATTCTTTCCTTCCTTAAAATGTGAATTGAAATTTCCTGACCCAATGTTAACAAAAGCTCTCGTTAGGTGAACTTTATAAGAGCTACCGCTCTTTTTTGATCAATCAAAGTGCTCTCGCTCAGTGAATCGGTTCGCTGAATCAGATAGCTAGCAAAGATCACATTCCTAGTAGATGGTAGTGTTTTCAGATTGATAATTAAAGCTAAAATCTGGTGAAAATTTATCAGATTTTACCCAAAATAATCCATGTAGGAGTTTTCAAAATTTTGGCAAATTAATTTGATAATGAAGTTAGCCTTTTATTTAGAGGATTAAATTATTTTTAATATTTCAGCCTGTACCGAATACGATTTAAATATACATTTGACTCAGCATATTTATAAAAATTGAACCTAAGTAACAAATAGTTTTTACATTTAGTTGCTGAGTGATAGCGGTGAAGAACTAAATATCACCTTACTGCCTTAATTAAGTAATCTGTGAGCGCATACTCAAAACAAGCTTTTAATCTATAAATGGCGTAGGATTTCATGGCGACTTTAGAGACTGCATTTTGTCTACTGTCAACGGCGGCAGAGTCTAATTTTAAAAACTAAGGAGAGCAAAATCACTCCTAATAATTCAATCTCAAAATGAGAGGAGAATGTTATATAGACGTTTTTGGTTTATTATAAAGTATATTTTTGAGTTATTACTTGCGGTTACAGTACATTTGAGTTTAATTTTAACGGCACTACTTTGCCCATACAAAATAAGTTTTGAATAAACGGAAAGCCAGTTTTATAAAATATATTATACTATAATCCTATTTAAAATTTTATAAACAGTGTTACTGAGTACAAATTTCTGTTATTCTTAATATATCAAAGTAAGCATGATTTTAATTTTCATATAATGTTTGCTAAGTAAATTATTTGTTGTTCTTTTCAATTTTATCATTTTTAATGCATCATCAAACTCGATAAATTTCAATTCATAATTTATGAATTATTCTAATCCTAGACTGTCATCCACTGATCGATTATACTCGTTATTATTCCAACTGCATGGAAGACGTCTGCGACTGCGAAATTGAGCCAGAATTTTGTGCGTGCTTATCTTTCTCCAATTATGCCGCAGCCTGTGCCAAGAAAGGAAAGCCTCTATCATGGAGACAAGCTTTCCCGCCATGCGGTAAGCTTTATATGCACTTAAAAGTTTTATTAATTCAGAAAATCCCTTCACTCTTAGTTAAAATGTTTGCTAAAATTCATTTATATATTTTATTTTAGTTATTTATTTTCCCCAAGTTTTCAGAAAATAGTTAAACGTATTTAATTTGTCACCTTGTAGCTTATTTTTCTGTTTGTTTTCTTCTCTTTTTCGATTGACTGATGAAATTAGACCTGTAGCTTCATTTAGCCCTATTTACATATTTAAGCAATTGTAATGCAAGCAAAGCAGAAAAATGTTTTTCTTGAAGAAGAAGGACTTGTGCCATTTGCACCTAAAATGCTTAAAGCTTTTCTATAAACAAAACTGACTCTAAAACTAAATTTCAATTTTTAATTGCAAAATTCAGATTTTAATACAACTGTAAGAACATTGTTCAAAATAGTACTATTTTAAGGTGCTATAGCATTCCTAAATGTAATTACTCGCTGTGAGTGGTTACGTTCACCTGACAACTGGAAGGTTTAGAGTTGAAATCTCCGGTGAAACCAGAGATGATGTATCTTGCTTCCGAAAACTTATATTCTCTATGCACTTCCGAAAACTCAATCTGTTTGAAAATTTAGTACATTAATTGTGCTTCTGTAATATACTTTTTAAATTTAAAAATTTTTCGATAAAATTTATCATAAAAGCGGACTTATTATTACAAATGCAAGCTAAAGGAGCTTTTGTTTCATGGAAAAGTTACCTTTACAAAATTAATTTAAAATGAGTTTCTCAAATCTCACAAAGCTTCTTAGAGCAAAGCTCCTTAAATCCCGTTGAACGGTATGACAAGTTTTACAAGATAATGAGCTTTTGCCTAATTTGGTATATTATATTTCATTGTTATTTAAAATACCTTAGTTTCTTTGATAGTCATCTTTTATCATTTTATAATCTAATCTTATTCTATATTCTTATTTTATGATCTAATCTTTTATCGTTGTAATGTATAGAAGGATATGAAAGCAAAGTACGAAATAAATAATTATACAAATATAGTCGATAAAGCTTGTTTCTATACAGTGTTTCAAGAGCAGATTCAAAAGGCTGTGCCGTTCAGAGTGTTAACTTGCTTATATCAAATGCAAAAAACCTGTATTTTTTTAGCTAAGCTATATTAAAATAATGTAAAAGGAAATATCTGTTATCACGGAAGTTGTGTGCATTGTTATTATTATTTAGTCTTCATTCAAAATAATGTGTAATAAATTCCTTCAGGCTTCAAACTAAGCTGTATAACAGTTATCAATCTTTATAGTGAATATTCTTCTTTTCGTGCATTTTTATATGAGCGATGGCTAGGTTAACTTTCACCGTTTTCAATTGCTGTCTTCAGTGAGCTGCTGTAACGCTATTTTAGATAACCATATTAATAAAATACATTATTTATATACAGAACAATTTATTTATAAACATTTTTAAACAATTTTTGAGAGAACCTACATTTATAATAAACCTCATCTTATTAATCAACGCAGGAAACTCTTCTATCCAAAGTTTGGAAGCAACGTGTTACTCAAACTTATAGTTGATAAAGCTTGTTTCTGTACAGTGTTTCAAACTAAGGAGAGCAAAACAGAAATGAATCAGATATTCTCCTCAAGTTAATGAATTAATTCCGCGTTTTCTACAGAGATCAGAAAGTCAGAAACTGTGTATACCTTAAACTGAAATCTTCAATAATCTCTCATATCGTTTCTCCAACACTTAACGATATTAATTCTTTAACCGATGTCCAACTGGTGATAACTGTGATATAACTTTTTCTGCTTCATGTGATCTGTTTCAAAGTAGATCATGATCATTAACCTTCGAAATAATTGAAGAGAAGACTTTTGTTAAAATAAATTTCGCGTAAATTAAAGATAGCTGAAAGGAAATCAAGTATGTATATTTGCCTAATCATGTACTTAAATAAATTAACTTCGTGAATAATATTTACACGAAGTTCGAAATATTTCTTTAAATTTCTAAGGAAAATATCTGTATTATATTAAAATTCTTATCTTTAGATACGGCAGTTTCCTCCAGCTTCCAAATCCCATATTCGTGCGTAAATTATTAAACATTATATTCCTGCTAAAGACATTTTGCTAATATAGAATATCTCTGCTTTACAGAATAGGTTTATATTCAAGTGTAATCTGTAAAGCCCGATTGTTTGAATATCGTAGGGAATAAACTGGAGTAGGCAGAATTCTGTATTCAGTATTCAGAGAGTATTATGATTTAAACCTTTTGATGAGAGATTAGGAATGCTTTGGTGAGGAAGGAACTGCTAACAGTATCTTTATTGTTGTTCTTGCCAAACATTCAAAATAAACTCAAATTCGTAGTCATGTCTCACATCCTAATTTTAAATCATCAAATTTTGATTAATTATATTGTTGTACGAACTCATTCGCTCTTTCTGAAAAAGGAAATGACAACTTAGAATGAAACTTAATCTGCGAGTTTTAAATGAATCTTCCAGTTTCTTCCACTTTTATTACAGTGAGCGAATTTCCTCTGAGTAAAGGTGTCCACCCTTGATGCTTTAGCGTTAAGACATCAGGCACTGCTACCTTAACATGGTCACCGGCAGGAAATTATTGCCAGCGTAGGGAACGTCTTAGAATAGAAAATACTGACGAAATAGAAAATGCTAACAAAAGGCTAGCTTTGAAATAGGAAGAATAATCAGGTTGATCCAAGCGTGGGCAAAGATAATCTTGGACTCCCTACTCCAGTTACACTTTTAGCCTAGACTTGGTTTTAACACCTTACCTCGTAATATGAAGGTCTATAATTACTATATACGACAAACATCCTTTATAGATTTGCTTTAACCTTACAAAGATAAGCAGAGCGTGAAAAATCAAATTTAGGATAGATGTCATCAGCAAAAGTTTTGTATTTTTGACTCTATTCTTCATTATGCCAGAATAAAATCTTCGAGATAGATCTGTCTTTTAAGTCATTTTCAAATATCAATTTTATTTGCCTTTAATTTACATAAAAAGAGAACATATGCGTTTCTATGAATAGCAAGAGCCTACTTTCCCATTAGAAGAAAAAAATCATGCAACAGTTTTTTTAATTAATGTCATAAGTAGGTTTCATTTAGAAATATGAATAGCTGCACAACTTCAATTTTCTTATTTTGAGATAAGAACTCTTATGAGTTCCTATTTAGAGATTTTTCGCATAAAATACGTTTTTCCTCTTATTTTTTCCTTCCTTTTTTCGTATTTATATCGCCTAACACAGCATTTTTCATTCTTAAGCAAAAGTTTTGGCTTACAAAAAGCTGAATGCTGTTGTACTCTCTATCATATTTCAAAGGAAGTTTTCTTCAGCTATAATGAAACTCATTATGTTATCTTTTGATGTGAGTTCATAGCAATTAAAATATTTTGATTACTTTTACGTTATTCATAGCAACTCTAAATATCTGAACCACAGTTTCGACTTTTCGTATCTTATAATGACGGAATATTTTATGTCAAGTAGCAAATTATATTTCCTTTATGATTTTTATGTGCAGTTAATCTGCTATCGTTACATAATACTTTTATTTTCAAGGTTTATTGCTCACAAATGCTTACAAATATTATCACACAGATTGATCCTGTGTTTTTTACTTCCTTCTGGTATATTGAGACCGAATGGACAAGATTGCTCAGATCTGATAATTCAGTCTTAGTGAAATTCTTAACGAACACCGTTTGTAAAATGTAAATAGGAGCTATGTTCCTTTGAATGCCTTCCATGAAGTCATCTTTCCATTAGGCAGACAACCCTCGTGCGCTTTAGCGTGTTCAAATAAACAGTTCTCTTTCCTTTGAAAATGTGCTTCAAATAAAAAATCGCATAAATTCAAAAATCATTTGAGCAAACATATTTGCTTCCGAAATAGGAAAACTCATCACTTCTAATATTATAATATTTACTCATTTAAATTTCGGAAGTCTTAAATTATCAGACAGCTTTGCACGAAAATCCTATATCTATCACTAATTTAAGAAACAAGTTATACCATTATGAATTATAATTTCATTATACGAACTAAAAACGTAACTACACATATTCGGAACACAAACAGATTTTATCAAGGTATTGAATTAAAATGAAATGCAAGTTCTTTGCCAATATATTTTATACAGAAACGAAATCCTAACAGTTTAGTCGACTTTGAGTTTTATTTAATGTTTCCACACACTTCTGAGTTTTAGTTAATGTATTTACATGTATGTAAATTTTGAAATGAAGCCTACAGATTCTTACTATGTTACTCTGTCAAAATCATGAGTCTAAAAGCAGCATAGCAGGAATGTTAACTGAGATCATAACATAAGCTCTCATTTGCATCTGCATGCTTCCTTATAATGGGACAAGGAGTTCTGCTTTAAACAGCAATCCATCACTGCTAAAGACAAGCAAGCATCCTTGCCGTAATTGCTATCTTTTAATTTCTAATTACGAAATGCCAGTATTCCATGCGCCTTTTTCATATATACTGGTTTAAATCAAATAGTACAAATCGCATAAGTACACTAAATATTCTTTATTTAATTTATTAACAAGTGTTTTTTATATTTGAATGATTTCTTTAGATTTATTTATCATAAATGTATAGTCAAAATGCTGAGAAACAAGCCGAAACTGATTATCATTGAATTGGAAGTCTTAAAATAGTCTGTTACCATTGATCCGCTCTAACGTCTATATTCCCACAAGTTTCAGGGTACAGAAATGGATTTTCGGGTAATCTTTTAGGTAGCGATTCATAAAATGTTTTTCATTCACGACCCCTTTTTTTCGCTACCTTTCATATGAAATATAGATTAAACATATGAAATAAATATTTTCCCATAAATAGTTTATTTCTTTGGTAAACAATGTAGGTATGAAAAGAAGTAGTTTTGGGATTTGTTTCAAGTATACTAAAATTAATGAGAGAAAATAACATTTTAATGAGACAGATGTGCTTG